TCAATGCTATCCAAAACACCAGCCACATTCGCAGCGTCACTCTCTGGGATAAACACGGGGAAAAAATCTTGATACGGGGTGTCATCAAAGCCATTCATGAGCTGCTCGTCGGTGAGCATACTCGTATCTTCAAGATCCATACCCGGAAAAGTACCCACACACACAAACTCGGACGCCGAGGACGGTACTACGTCGGCAGAGCCGGCGGGCGGGACGCTCTCACTCGCAGGTACTACACTGGTGGGACCNGGGAAGGGGAACGCGCGGAGCCAACGGCGGGGGCGGAATCGGGGGCAGTCACGAATGCGGGCAAAGCAGCAGGGTCTACAATAGTCGCAGATGGGTCTTACGGCAACCGCATGGCATACGTTGCAGACGCTTTTTGCGCAGCCCATTTTGTAGGGTTGCACCACGTTCGTCGTAGAGGATTGGATGCTTCAGAGAAACAGCATGCGTTGAGACTAAGTTGAAACTCAGGCTCTCTACAAGAGACACGTGAGCGAGCTTCGCACACATCGTCGTTTTCTCACCATTCTCATCCTCCTGAAAGAAACTAAGATTAGTACTACCGATGGCTTGCACTTCTAGCAGTCGACCATCACCTACAACGACATACTTCCTACTGGCGGGGATCTCTTGCAGGTCATACATGTGTAGGCTGCTGTTGGTGAAACTGTTGCTGGCTCCTGAGTCAGCTACCCATCTCTCGCTACCAGGCGGCCCCTCACTAGATTTCACACTCAGCAAAGACGAAGCAGACGCAGCAGACTCTACTCCAATCGTCACTCCTATCCTACAAAGAAATTCTTCAGGGTGAGACTTGCCTAGGGGCACCGATTGTGCCGTGCAGAGATGGAGGTAGACCGAAGATGGAGGCGCGCCAGGAGAAGGAGTAGAGGACGAGGAGGAAGCGGTGGTGCTGCTGCTCGCGGGGGGGGGCTGACGTTGCTGCTCGGATGACGAATCTTCGCGGGCAGGAGGGTAGTACACGTAGTGGATGCCGCCGTCAGATGAACGGCTGTCTTCGTACCCGGAGTAGTAGCTGTAGCTGTCCCCACCGCCGGCGTAGTGTGCGTACCCGGCGTCGTAGTAGCCATCGTCGTAGAAGTATCCATCGTCGTAGTCGCCGTAGTCTTCGTAGTACCCACCATCATCGTGGGCGTAGTACACAACGTACGCCTGCTCTCTTCCGTGGCCAGAACGCGCGTGCCCCGGGCCTCTCTCTGCCCGTTCTCTCTCGGCACGCCCGTCGCTGCTGTGGCGTCCCGCGGGCCCACGACCCCCCGGGTGACGCCCCAGACGACCACCTCCACGAAGAGGTCTCGGGGGGGGTGAGGCTTGGCTCCAGCCACCGCCACCATGACCGGTGTGGTGCTGCTGCCCTTCTATCCTCACCCATCGCCCGCCACCGCGGCCGGGCCCCGGCGGCGGTCTACCCCCTCGCTGGCTACCGCCGCCACCGCGGCTGCCGCCGCCCGAGCGGCGTTCCGCGACGCCCTCTCTCGAACGCGCGCTCCGCAGTTGCTGCTGGAGACGACACTGCTCGTTGGTGTGAAGCTCGGACTGGTGGTAGCGGCAAAATCCGCCGGGTTCGTCGTTGAACATGTCACTATTTTTCTTCTCTCCGTCACGATTTTGGCCGCCAGCTGCTGCGTGACCCCCGTCTTGACCCCCGGATGCCCCCCCACTGCCCCCGCCGCGCCGGCCCATGCCGGACGCGGCGAGAGCGAGCTCCACCTCGCGCCTCTCCCCCTTGCTCCTCTCGCGCTCCATCTCCATGTGGGCGTCCCTCACCACAGTCTCAAGGGCATGCAAAGTCACNATCCTGTGGACTCTCGGACTCTCTCATCTCCAACTCCTTCCAGTCCTGCCCAAAACCTCGACTTTTCTGACTGCTTTTTCTCCTGATAGAATTCTGTCACGATTTTCCAGCCCTTTTGG